CTAGCACATCTAATGCAACCAAAGCATCATCAGTAGACGGCATCGCAAATAGCTTTGCTGAGTTTCATTATGATCCTTATGCCAACGTTACTTTTTACATGTGGTTTCGGAGTTATGAGTCAGTCAGTAACAACGTGGAACTTCGTACGTACTTACACCAGTTCGAGTTGCCATACCACATTAGCACAGAGATGCTGTTATCGATTCAAATCCCATAGTGGTAGAGGTAGTGAAAGTATAAGTAGTGATAGGGAACATTAGGGTTTGATGATGTTATTTAAGGAGCATAATCCAGTGGAATAGATTTGGAAAGAAAATAAACGACATGAAGAACTCAGAAGATTAGAATTTGGGAGGACACAAAGAGTGGATGCACCTGTGCGATTGCAAACGATTTTGAGCCATGTCATTCAAGATCTCTAACCATCGGTTGCTATCACCTCACGGATCCCAACCAAGTAGTCTACATCTACCAACATGGCTCAGTCCACTTGTCAGTGACTTCATGGATTTGTGCCATGTTTTGGTCTGGCCACCCCTAGCTTTCCTCCAACCTACTCCTACACCATAAAACATCGCACGTCGGGGCAGTCGGTGGTCGGGCATGCGCAACACATGTCTCAGCCTTCTCAACTGATTGAGTTTCACTACTTCATCAATTGATTTGCCATCCTTACCTAGTACCCGTTTCCTAACAACTGAGTTACTTACTCGGTGGTCCCAGGAGATACGAGCAATGTTTCGAAGACATCTATGGTCGAATACTAGTAACCTACGAATGTTCTCTACTCTTACCGGCCATGTTTCACTGCCATAAAGTAGGACGGAACGAACTGCTGCGCAGTAAACACGTCCTTTGGTTGATAGACAGATATCTCGCCTACGCCACAAATGACGCAAGTTGGCAAAAGCTAGTCGAGCCTTTTGTATCCGTACCGAGATTTCGTCACACACCAGACCACAAGGGCTGATGAGACTTCCAAGATAAGTGAAGCGGTCGACACGCTGAACTACTTCACTCCCTATCACTAGTTCGGGAGGCGGTTCAACCCTATCCTGAAGCAACATTTTGCATTTTGAAGGAGAAAATCGCATCCCGAACATGCCTGCATTGTTGCTTAGAGTGGTCACAAGACCCTGCATTTTGTCAGCGTCTTCACTAAATAGAACTATGTCATCGGCATACTCTAAGTGAACAAGTGAGTCTTTCGGTAGAAGTTCAACCCCTGGAAGGTCAGATGTGGAAACTGTTATTCAGTGCCTCTTTGTACCAATATTTATGTTCAGATAAACGGGGTGCTTTCCAACCTCGTAATTCGTCAAGTTTATTTATACAGTCGTAAACTTCCTTGGTCTGTATCAAATTTACTAGCAAATCCAAGTTACTTGTCCTCGGGTTGCGCGACGTCCGCGTTAACGTAGCTACACTTTTTTGACTTCTAGTTACATTTGCAATCTGATTTAGATGGTTTATCTGTACTGAACGTTAAATAAGCATTACTTACTTACTTACTTTTGCCTGTTACTCCTCGTGAAGGAGCATAGGCCGCTCACCAGCATTCTCCATCCAACCCTGTCCTGGGCAATCCTTTCCAGCTCTTTCCAGTTCTTATCCATCCGTTTCATATCCGCTTCTATTTCCCGACGTAATGTGTTCTTTGGCCTTCCTCTTTTCCGCTTTCCTTCAGGATTCCAAGTTAGCGCTTGTCTCGTAATGCAGTTTGATGATTTCCTCAATGTATGTCCTATCCATTTCCATTGTCTTTTCCTAATTTCCTCTTCCGCTGGAAGCTGGTTGGTTCTCTCCCACAAAAGGCTGTTGCTGATGGTATCCGGCCAATGGATGTTGAGTATCTTGCGTAGACAGCTATTGATAAATACTTGTACCTTCTTGATGGTGATTGTTGTAGTTCTCCGCCTTTCAGCTCCGTACAGTAGAACTGCCTTGACGTTGGTATTGAAGATTCTGACCTTGATATTGGTTGAAAGTTGTTTTGAGTTCCATATGTTCTTCAATTGAAGGGATGTTGTTCTTGCTTTGCCAATCCTCGCCTTTACGTCTGCATCTGAACCTCCTTGTTTGTCGACGATGCTTCCCAGGTATGTGAAGGATTCCACATCTTCCAGAGTTTCGCCATCAAGAGTGATTGGATTGCTGTTCTCCGTGTTGTATTTGAGGACCTTGGTTTTCCCTTTGAGTATTTTGAGGCCTACTGATGCAGAGACTGCTGCTATGCTGGCTGTCTTTATCTGCATTTGTTTGTGTGTATTGGATAGGAGGGCTAGGTCATCGGCTACTCTGCAACTACCCACCATTCCCGGACAGCGCGAACGGAACATCGAAGTAGGTCCCTCGACTCTAGCTGAAGTTCAAAAGGCTATAGATTGTCTGAAACGAGGAAGAGCGGCCTCAATAGTCTCAATAATTATCGGATGCTTGACTAAGACTCGTGAACTGAAAACACGAGAGAATCAAGCTGGCTTCAGACCTGTTTGTGGCGGCATCGACCACATATTCACCATTCGTCAGGTTCTAGAACACAGGCATACTTATCGGCGTCCGACAATGGTGGTCTTCCTTGACTTAAAAGCAGCGTTTGACTCTGTTGACCGAGAGGTTCTGTGGCAGTGTCTGTCATTGAAAGGCGTACCTCAGAAGTACATAAACCTTGTGAAGGCTCTTTACTTGAACACTACTAGTCGGGTCAGAGCCTATGGCGAACTGTCATCCGCTTTTGCAACCTCAAGTGGGGTCCGTCAAGGCTGTCCACTTTCTCCTTTTTTGTTTAACTTTATCATAGACATCCTGATGGAAATAACGCTCTCATCGACTGAATTCTCCGGCATTGATCTCCTACCAGGAGGTCCACTTATTGACTTATAATATACACATGATATAGTCCTGTTTGGTGAAGACGCTGATAAAATGCAGTCTTTTCGTAGCACTGAGCAACAATGCCAGGATGTTTGGGATGCGTTTCTCTCCCTCTAAATGCAAACTGTTGCTTCAGGACTGGCTTGCGTCAACACTTGAATTAAGGATAGGGAGTGAAGTAGTCGAGCGCGTTGATGACTTCACTTATCTTGGGAGTCTGATCAGCTCTAATCGGTTGGTGTCTGACGAAATCTCAGCACGGATTCGAAAAGCTCGTTTAGCTTTTTCCAACTTACGTCACCACCTATGTGAAGGCGAAATATCCGTCTATCAATAAAAGGACAAGTACACTGCGCGGCAGTTCTTTCTGTTTTACTTTACGGCTGCAAGGCGTGGCCGTTAATAGTTGAGGATACTCGTAAGCTACTAGTATTTGACCACAGATGCCTTAGAAATAATGCTTGCATCTGCTGGGATCACCAGGTAAGTAATAGTGAGGTTAGACGTAAGATATTATGAAATGATGGTAAATTAGTCGATGAGGTTGTGAAGTCGTGCATAGTGTACAGCCAACGTAGGTATTCCAAGTAAGAACCGGAGTCATACAAGGCTGTCTACTCTCCTCCTTCCTCTTTCTTCTGGTGGACTGGATTATGTTGACTTCAACATCTGAGGGAAAGAACGGAATACAATATACAACTCAGAATCAATTAGAAGATTTGGACTTTGCAGATGACCTGTTCTTTCCATTCCATACACCCGAACAAATGCAGATAAAGGCAACTAATTTAGTAGCAGTTTGTGCATCAGTAAGCCTCATTATGTACAAAAGAAAAAGCAAGATCCTCAAATACAACACGGAAAACTCCAACCCAATCAAACTTGATAGGGAAACTCTGGGACAGGTGGTAACTTTCACCTACCTGATCAGCAGCATCATCGATGAACAGCGAGGATCGGATGCAGACTTAAAGGCGGGGATTGGCAAAGCAAGGACAGCATTCCTACAGTTGAACGACATATAGGACTCAAAACAACTGTCAACCACTAGCAATCAGGATCTTTAATACGAACGTCAAGACAGTTCGATTGTACGGAGCTGAAACGCGGAGAACCACCACAACCATCAAAATGTACAAGTATTTGTAAACAAATGTCTGCTCAAGATTTTCAATATTCGTTGACTGGATGCCATCAGCAACAGCCTTTTGTGGGAGAGGAAAAACCAGCTTCCAGATGAAAAGGAAATTAGGAAAAGACGTTGGGGGTGGATAGTACATACATTACCTAAATCACCAAGCTGCATCACGAGGCAAACCCTGACTTGGAATCCTAAAGGGAAGCGGAAAAGAGTAAGTCCGAAGAACACACTAGGTTGGGAGATGGAAGTAAATATGAAAAGGATGAATGGCAACTGGAAACAACTGGAAAGGATTGACTAGGTTAAGGTTGGATGTAGAGTGCTGGTGGGTGGCCTATGCTCCTTCACGAGGTGTAACAGGCGTAAGTAAGTAAGTAGGTTTTGAATCTCCATCGACTGAAATAGTTGGTATTACACATGTCTAACCACCCACTGCGATGGCGGGTAACGATGATTAGTGTTGGAAACAGATGGAAATAAGTTAGTGGTGACCAAACCAAGTCACTAACTTCTGGTCTGAGCCTTGTTGGTAGGTGTGGACTACTTGAATGGGGGCCACGTGACTATTATAATTAGTGGTTGGAGACTCTGGGTAACATGACTCAGAATCGATCACAATCGGGTAGGTGTATGCACTCCTAAACGATGAGATTAAAATTACTTTAACCTTTCTTTCTACGAACTAATTTTTTCTTCCTATATCCTTATATAGAATCTTTCTTTTATATATTACCACAACTGAATTAACTACTATGAATCCGGTGTTCATCTTGTTGTGCTAATGAGTTATGACAACTTGGACCGATGCACATGTCCTGGTCTTACGTTGTAAATGAATAACTGACCGTGTGCTAGGCTCAAAGAAAGTTGTATGTTATGTGTATGCACTTCATTCCGTTATTATTCCTATTATTGTCCCGGAATTTTCGTTGATTAGTATGTTGCCTTGTTTCGATCATGGGAATATGAATATTTTGATTTTAGCGTACCCGTTCACATAGTCATTGTCGTGGTCATTAGTGTGTGTAACGCTGTTAATTATGCATCTCTGTTTAGGTAAGTTTTTTATTTAGTTAATGATTATTTCTTGAACAGATGAAGAGGAAAACGAAGGCAGAACTCCACTACTTTCTGATCAATCAAGGACAATACAACTTATTTCAGTGCATCAAAGTCGCAGACCACGACATTCTCCACCTTCAGATGATTTTCGAAAAATTGGTGTCAATATAGACCCCGGGGTAAGTTAGGTCATTTATGTTCTATGATTCACTCATAAATAACTTAAGGCTGAGTAGAAATAGGTGTCGGTTCATGTTATCTCACTTCATCACCATACTGAAAGAGAACCAGCATAAAAAGCTGCTCAGTCAAAATAATATCAAAAGTGGTTGAGGTGGAAAATATAGGAGAATATTGAAACTCAACATCTAGAGTGAGCTTCAAAGAGTGAATACATTTATTTCATTACTACCTACATTCGGGCATGCCACTGAAGGTCTTCAACCATAGAGGACGATTATCTCGCAGCTTAATCATGAACTCTGTATCTTTCTGCACAGTTCGGAACAGTAGGCAGTAATTTCATGGACTGATTTTATTTCGTGGCCCAGCAGATATCAGACGTTTTTTTCGATGTCGTCCTATGCTACCTACTGTTTCACTTCGGGTTATGCATTGCTTTAAGTAACGCATTTCATAACTATTCCATTTGATGGTCGTTCACAGCACCACCACACTTACTGAAGGAATCAAGGTCAGTCTGTTGGTGGCCTTACTTTAATATCAATAATTTCTCTGTTAATTTAGTACCTCAGCTATCTAAACGACCGCGTGAACCATTTGAGACGTTATTAAATATAACTTTTTCTCTTAGCCATTATCGATTGCAAATAAGGATGTGAATCATATACCAGGTTCAAATTTATGTACTTGGTTTTGATTTATACATTTTGTTGAAAGGCTAGTAAATACCTTGTTACTCAGATGGTAATCGAGTAGAGTTCGGATCTGAGACCTAATGATCACAAGCCGTGTTTTAATTACTAGACCACTTCTTCCATAGCGACTGTGCTTCAGAGTTTGTATTATTGCTACTATAGTCCCCATATTTCCAAACATTGATCGAATTTGTTAGTACTTTTAGTGTGAAAAGTTTGTATTTCTATTTAAACTAATGAAGATTATTTCTTGCTTAAATTGTGAACTATTATGCTCGTTATCTCAAACGGTAACTCAGTAAAAAGAAATCAGCAAAATAACCGTCTAAAAATTGGGAATAACTATAGTAGGTCAGTCAGTCAGCTGCAACGTAGGACCAGGCACGTATATGCATCGGTCCAAGTTGCCATACCGCATTAGCACAACAAGATGAACACCGGATTCATAGGAGTAGTTAATTCAGTGGTGGTAATATATAGAAGAAAGATTGTGTATAAGGAGATAGTACAGGAAGAAAGAATTAGTTCCTAGAAAGAAAGATATAAAGCGATTTTAATCTCTTAATTTAAAGAAGACAGAGTGTATACACCTACCCGATTGTGATCGATTCTGAGCCATGTCACCAAGAGTCTCCAACCATTGGTTACGATAGTCACGCTGACCCCAACCAGGTAGTCTGAATCTACCAACATGGCTCAGACTAGAAGTTAGTGACTTCAAGCACTGATGCCACGTTTTGGTTTGGCCGCCCCTAACTTTCTTCCAATTATCCCCAACACTAGTCAGCATTGCGCGTCGTGGTAATCGGTGTTCAGGCATACGCAGAACGTGGCCTAACCATCTCAGTCGATGAAGATTCATAACCTCATCAACTGATTTACCATCATTCCCTAGTACCCTGCGTCTAACCTCACTATTACTTACCTGGTAATCCCAGCAGATGCGAGCATTATTTCTAAGGCACCTGTGGTCAAATACTATTTATATTTATTTGTTTATTTGAACACATAAATATTGGTACAGAGGGGCACCAAATATATATGCGCCACACAAAACAATGATAATTTGAAGGGAAGGAGAAAAGAGAAAAAAAAAGTAATGAACGTGGGGAATTATAAAAAAAAAGGGAGAGAGAGAACAATGGTGGGGGAAACGGAAAGGTACAATCAGAAGAGATCTTTCAGTTAAGGAAGATATAAACACTTTTTATGAAGAAAGTAAGAGGTTACAGCACGATCGCCACTGGCTTCTATTCTGAGCCATATCTGATAACGTCTCTAGCCACTGCGTTACACCGTCTCTCGGACCCCAACCAGGGAGTCGTGAAGGACCAACAGAAGCTAGCCCTTTGCAGCTTTCTTTCATACCACGACACCATGTCATATACTGACCACCACTAAAACCATGATGAACAATTTGCTTATGGTCAAATACTAGTAACTTACGAGTATCTTCTACTCTCAAAGGCCATGTTTCACAGCCGTATAGTAGAACGGAACGAACTGCCGCGCAGTATACTCGACCCTTAATTGATAAACAGATATCTCGCCTGCGCCATAGATGACGTAAGTTGGCAAAGGCCAAGCGAGCTTTTCGAATCCGTGCTGAGATTTCGTCAGACACCAACCGATTAGGGCTGATCAGACTCCCAAGATAAGTGAAGTCATCAACGCGCTCGACTACTTCACTCCCTATCCTTAATTCAAGTGTTGACGCAAGCCAGTCCTGAAGCAACAGTTTGCATTTAGAGGGAGAGAAACGCATCCCAAACATCCTGGCATTGTTGCTCAGTGCTACGAAAAGACTGCATTTTATCAGCGTCTTCACCAAACAGGACTATATCATGTGTATATTATAAGTCAATAAGTGGACCTCCTGGTAGGAGATCAATGCCGGAGAATTCAGTCGATGAGAGCGTTATTTCCATCAGGATGTCTATGATAAAGTTAAACAAAAAAGGAGAAAGTGGACAGCCTTGACGGACCCCACTTGAGGTTGCAAAAGCGGATGACAGTTCGCCATAGGCTCTGACCCGACTAGTAGTGTTCAAGTAAAGAGCCTTCACAAGGTTTATGTACTTCTGAGGTACGCCTTTCAATGACAGACACTGCCACAGAACCTCTCGGTCAACAGAGTCAAACGCTGCTTTTAAGTCAAGGAAGACCACCATTGTCGGACGCCGATAAGTATGCCTGTGTTCTAGAACCTGACGAATGGTGAATATGTGGTCGATGCAGCCACGAACAGGTCTGAAACCAGCCTGATTTTCACGTGTTTGCAGTTCACGAGTCTTAGTTAGGCGTCCGATAATTATCGAGGCTAGTATTTTAAATACTATATTAGTCAAACTAATCCCTCTGTAGTTGTCACAGGATGATTTTGACCCTTTCTTAAATATTGGGACGATAAGTGATTGTGACCAGTTAGATGGAATAACGTTTAACTCCCAGATTTTAGCTAAAATATTAGTCCATCTAATCGCTAAAACTAGACCACCATCTTTAAAGACCTCTGAGGTCAATCCATCTGGACCAGCTGCCCTTCCTCGTTTCGGATTAACTATAGCCTTTTGAACTTCAGTTAGAGATGGGGGACCTACTTCAATGTTCCATTCACACTGTCTGGGAATAGAGGGTAGTTGTAGAGTAGCTGAAGGCCAGCTAAACTGCTCCTTAAAGTGTTCCGCCCATCGTTCTAAGCGTCTGGACTGGGAGCAGATGAGAGTGTCGTCTTTTTCCGAAATGGTCTGACTTACACTTGATTTATTAATTCCAGTTTCTTTTATTAGTCGGTAGAGTTGTCTTGTGTTCCATATAGCCACCTTCTTTTCCATCTCTTTTGCTTTCGTTGCCCACCACTGCTCACGATCATTCCTTAGACTTTTACTTAACCTAGATCTGATTTCTTTACGCTCTTCATCGTATTCAGAACCTGATGGGATGAGTTTGCGAGAATCTATCAGTGCAATAGACCTTGACGAAATCCATTGGTTCTTTGTATCCCTGTGGTTTAAATCACTGGTAGATGTCACTGCTGTTTCCACAGCTGCTTGTATAACTGTCCAAGCAACATCTGGGTCAGTCTCGTTTTCAGAACTACATAAGTGTGACCTCAGTTGTTCCTGGAACCTACTTTTGCTTTTCTCGTTACTCAATTCAGTTCTAATGAGTCTTTTTAGTGTGACTTGTTTGCGTCCAGTGAGGCGCAAGCAGATGCGTGCTCGTATTAGGTCATGGTAGGAGTTCAAGCAGGTACTCCAGAATGAGCGACAACCTTCGATCGACCCTCTCCAACGATGACTGATGGCAATATGGTCTATTTGAGTCCATCGTTTGTTTGGTGCAGAGGGTCGCCATGTTAGACGATGTCTCTCCTTATGCTTAAAATTTGTGTTTGCTAAAAATAAACGATTGTCTGAGCATAGTTGCAACAGACGATCACCATTATCTGTTCGCTGTGCCAGAATACCAAAATACCCACCTAAATGTCTTTCTGCTTGGTTTAAGCTACCTACCTGGGCATTAAAGTCACCTGCTACGAGTACTATGTCTGAACGTTTAGCTTTCTGAAGAAGTTCAGACAGCTTTCTGTAAAATTCATCTTTCACTTCATCCGTGCTGCAGTCAGTGGGAGCGTAAGCAGAAACGACGAAAAGGCAACGACGTGTGTCCCTATCCTTCCGAGTTCTTACGGAGCCGTTTAGCCGAACAGCGCATAGACGACTGTTTACGGGGATCCACTCTAATAGCGCTTGTTCCGCCTTCATGCTAAGTGCTATGCCTACACCTGCCAGTCCACGAGAACTAGCCATCGGGTCGCCAGATACACGGAGGGTGTGTCTCGTTGGCTCTCCGTTTTGCCGAGGTGAGGTCAAGTGAATGACCACGCTAGGATCCTGTATGCGTGTTTCGGAGACACAGCATACATCAATGGTACGAGATCCTAAGGTTTTAGCCAAGGAAGCCTGCTGACCGATTTGGCATAGTGTGCCTACGTTGAAGGCTCCGATGTATAGTTTGGAGCGAGGTTTCAGTAGACCTGTGACAGTGTTTTGAGCACTAGAATCGTTGGCTGTGGTGACAGTTAAGGAGGAAGCTAAAAGAGGAAGTTTAGTGTATAAAGTCGATGTAGGAGGAATAATAGGAATTGAAGAGGGAGGTTGACTATGAATACAGTAGTCTTGAGTGCTGTTAGAGGTATGAGGGCGGTTATCACTTCCCGGTTGCCCACACCATGGAAGGGTTCTGCTGGAGGTACCTGAAAAGGAAATTGGATTAGAGGTGGTCATAGTGACCTGAGA